TGATGCCCTGTCAGGTTCACCTTTGGGTCACAGCAAAGTGTCGAGCTGTCACTGTTAGCTAACCTGCTAGAGGGGATGACATATGAGTCACATGCAGGGACGCAAAGTTTCCTTCGTCTTATGTCGTCAGCTCTTTTGTGCATTCAAAGTATGAAGAAAGTTAATGTATGTATTAACAAGTGTGTATTTGATATCGGGCGGGTGGCTTACATTTGGAAACTTCTGCAGCACAAGTAAATAAGAACCAGCCTCTCAAGACAGATATAAAAAATAAAAATAAAAGGGTTGGGAGACATTTGGGGAGCGTGGTTTAACACTTCCAGTGAAGATATCAGAGCGTGGGCCCCAGTGAATCCTCGGTTTATTGAGGCTTTCAAAGCGCGAGCAAATTGGCTGTCTTATATTTAAGTCTGTGTAATCAGGAGTAGAACCCTGCCACATTTCACCGCAGCTTGTCAAGCTCTCTGATCTTAACAGCTTCAAAGTGTTAACAAGGTGACAGTATCAGAGGCGGCCTAGGTGGAGACAGCTGTAAGGGAAGGAAGGGTACAGACCATGAGTGAGAAAGAGTTAGAAAAGGGGGGGGGGTGTAAATGGTAGCATATAATGGAGGGAGGAAAAGAAAGAGAAGAAAGGGGGGGGCGGGGAGAGAAGAGAATGTCAAATGAGGGGGTATGGCGATAATTTGATGGGAGATAGACCTACAGAAGCTTAGACAGCAGAGAGCAGAGGGAGGTACAGAGAGAGGAGAAAAAATAACATTTAAAAAAAGAAAATGGTCAAAATAATTCCAAAAGATGACAAATCAGAGTAAACAAAAGGCTTTTCTCGTCCTTTAAACATCGGAAACGTGGTTCCCTTAAATACCGTGTCCTGTTTCTGTTTTTTTCTCCATTCCTCCAACGCTAATCTGTTTTGTTCCTCGTTGATGACAGCCGTGTCATGTCGTTACAGTTGGACCTAGATTTGACTAATTATAGCTCGGATCATTACAACAGGGAGAATTGCTTTAACAGGCGTAGTACGAGCATTTTTTTCTGTCGTCTGATTGGCCGTGTCTGTGGCCAAATGCTTTTTTCCCCCCCTCTCATTCATAAACTCACACACGATATTAAAGTGATGTCACCAAGGGGAACTCACTCAGGAATGATGTGAAACAAAAGGAAAATGTTTTTATTTCATTTTTTTGTTCTGTAGTACTTTAAGAAGGCAGGAGGAGACAAGCCGGAAACCTGGAGAAGATGGGCAGTGACTGGCCATCACTGCTGACCTGCCAACCGGACGGTGTTGTGGGTTCAGGGTCGAATATCCGGTGAATGTTGGTCACCCCCTGACGACATCTTCTCCTGGTTGAAAGCTGCAGTCACAAGTGACTGAAGGTGCAGGCATTTGGATGTATCCTATAGTATAGTTCTATAAATCTTTCTAACCACCTACCTTTGCTGAAAGAAACTACACTTCCAAATGAACATTCAATTCAGTATGCTTATTTTGCTGTATTTTGCCAAAGAAAAGAAAACACCATAAATCAAAGTGATATTCCTCATAAGGATTTAGACGCTTTGGTGAACAAAACTGATGACACCATCTGTTTCATTTGGCTTAAATTTGAATGCGGAGAGAGAGAAAAAAAGAGACAAGGAAGCACTGGACACTGACTGTACTAGCATTTTCTTTTCTATTCATGCTGAGGCAGAATAAGGAAATCATTGCCAGACACATCCATAAAGATCAGAGCTCTGGGAGGATACATGAAACTGTACATAAACTCTTGAACTACATTTTGTGCTGCAGTAATATAAAAGCGTGTTCATAGAGTTCAAGTATCTCCCTCTCTATTACACACACATGAACACACACACTCTATGGATTTTATTTCTGACCGTTTTTGTCAAAAAAAAAAAAAGGGGGACAGAAACACGACTGAGGAGTGAAAGAATATGTCATTTCTGCCTCTTTACCTCCTTTAACAGCAGGCGTTCAGGATTATCTGGGCTGAAAAGCAGCACTGTGTCCTACAAAAGCGCACTTAGGATGGCTTCCAAGTTTCCTTTTTATTACGGCACAGTTTCTAAAAAGTAGCGGCCAAGAAAAAAAAATAGTGTTGTATCATTTAAGTCCACATGGGGTTTATAATCTAAATGTACTGACCAAAGCCAGCACTTTAATGTCATGTGAGTGACCGTTTTTATGGGAGAATCTTGATTTCATTAGAAGAGTAGCGGCAGTGACAGTGGGAGACGGAGCGAGCTTGGCAAGTTTGCTGAGTTGGAGTTAAGTAATATGAAGAAGAAGAAGAAGAAGAAGGGGGGAAAAAAGCTTGTTGTAATTATCCAGTACAGAGGCACACACTGCTTGGCTCTAATCCTATGCTGCTCAAATAAAAGTGTTGATACCAAAAGTCCAGCAGAGTCCATTTGTGTGTGAGAGGGTGTTACACAGAAAAAAAATCACATCCACACTCACATACACACACCATTAACAAGCACCGCTAACGTTACCCAGTCAAATGAAGTCCAATACTTTCAGATGATTTTATTAATAAAATCATCCCTCCTCACCTCCTGCTGTGCTGCTCCCTCACTCCCTTCAGCCCCTTTTATATCAGTCCAATGCCTTCCATATAGCACCCTGTCCTGTAATGAATCACAAGCCACTGTTTGAAGTCTCTTCTTCCCCGGTCTCCTTTTGCAGCCTTCCCTCTTCCTTCATTTCTCTCCTAATGTATTGCTCAATTTTTCTCAATCTCTCCATCTCACAGCAGACTGACATTACTGCCCATTGGCACTCTTGTCGGTGTTGCCAGCAGGGATGCAGCAAAATCACAATGGCACACAAATTATAGCCAAAGGATAATAATTCCATAACACCAGGGCCCTGCTACAGAGAACATTTCCATTCATGCGTATGAATAGATGGATCAATATATGCAAACGCAATATAAACTGGTCAATGTCCATGTCTTAATGATTAGAAACAAGGAGGATCTCCTGATTGATGTGTGTGATTCATCGCTGGATCTCATGCTGTCTGCATTAATATGCTGTCTTTTCATATCACGTCCTATGTAAGGCAATTGAATCGTACATGCTGTCCGCTCTCATCAGCTCGCCAAGGTTCGTTTGAGGAACGGCTGATGAATGGGATGTGAATGAAAAGAGGGGTGAAAAAAAAAACGATGAAGGCAGACATATATTCCCAAATGGACTTATGGCACCAAGATGATAGCAAGCAGATCGTATTTGACACATGCTCGTTGGATTAGAAAAAATAACATTCACTAATCACATATCAGGGTGTCAAGACATCGTTAACATCAAGAGAGGAGGGCATCTCTGAGGCTGTACCAGCTGAAATAAATAGCATCATATTAAGAACTTTGGTGCTACTGGAACCAAAATTGGAACAGTTGTAAAGGTAATTTACTGTTAAGGTTTTCCAAATTAGTTTCATAACAGATTTTAAGACAACAGTCATATCTGAGAGGCAGTTTTCTGGACTCTAAGGACTCTAAATATTTGAGAACATCTGCCTCCAAAGTAGCTGCGATCAGCTGAGTGTTTATGGTCTGTTATTCTTGCTTTAGTCGATTCTTTTTGCAAATTAAATGGAACACCCACCATGATAGTTCTTGGGCCATTAGGAATCCCTGCTTTTAGCACAGATCTGTGTTGACCCTATGTCAAGGGAACTTTTTTATCTTCTGTCACATTTTTTTGCATTATTCACCGGTTGATAGCCTGGGCTTTCAATTTTGTATCATCTTAAAGATCCAACTTAGCTGCTTCACCACCAACTGATCGAGTGTTTTACATTTGGAAAGCTTTTTCATGTGAAGTGTCAGCAGGAAACACCGGTTTGCATTATAAGCAGCCCATGGACTTTTGCAACTTTCAGAGACTCAACAGCCCACCAAAGTACAGCAGGTCAGAGAACAATGCTTGTTAGATAACAATGAGAACAGGAGTACTTCTAGCCGTAGGAGTGAAACAAAACTCAAAACCGCAGGAACCCTGCATTGTACAGGTGCTGCAAAACCAGGGGTTGCTGAAGGTACACACTCTTGTGAATTTGGCTGCTACTTAAGTGGCATGAGTTCACAGTTATGCCATGACAGGACCAATCATAAAACACTATATGTCAGAGTATACTGTATATTTACCAGCCATGTTGTTGGACAAACTATTACAAAGCCATGTGATCCAATACAACAGCTCTACCAGCAGTTCTGCCATTACCAATCGAATGAACACCAAATCTGACATTGAGACCACCACAGACTAAAAGTGTCAAGTCCAAATTTAATTCCTTGATACATATACAGTGTTCTACAGAGTGAGTCATTTGAGAGCTCCATCCAATTATATTTTCCCAGAAGGCACATCTGAGTCATTTCATTCCTGTCAAAATCATCATAGTTTGTCTTTCATGTAAACTGGATTAATAGAGAGGTTTCTATGGGAAGTTGTCAGTTTATGTTACAATTATATAAAGACTAGACCAGAATAGTGCCATTCTTCTGCACCTCTTTGTTGAATAAAATATGTCTAACTCAGGGTGAGTACTTGAACCACTTAAGTGGATACAATTATAAGCAGGAGAGAGTAAAAATGGAAACCATGTCATTGTAGTAACAATGACTTTACTGCACTCAAACTGGAGAGATTGCACTGCCTACAAAAATAACTTGCGTGCGTCACTATGTATAGAAACCATGTTGAACAACAAGTCTGGGTATCTTTTTCATATAGTTATTCAATCTATGAAGAGATATCTGCTCTAGAAGCCTATTTGAATTGTTGTTTTTAATTGTGTACTACAGGTTTTAAAACTTCCTTTTAATGTTGGCAAGTAAAACCAGGGTTAGTATTGTGTTTGACATGAAAGAATCCTAAATACATCCTGAGGTAGTTTTGTTTTTTAACCTCTTTATTTTCAAAAGCAACAGTTCAAGCGATTCTTTATAAAAAAAACTGCCCTTAAAAATGTAGATGACTTACCTTTCCCACATAAAGCGGCTCTGTTCCTGTGTACTCCTCCACCACAAAAAACTGGTTCCACACCCATCCTCTCTTTACTCGCTCAAGTGATGAGGGTCCTTGTTCCTGTCTACTCTCTCCTGAGACCGAACCACTAGTCCTTGAGGCCTCGCACCAGCCAAAACTACAACAGTTAAGAAGACCCATTGCCGCTAACAGTCTACAAGCTCCTGCTGTCCAAAAAGGAGCCATCTTTATATTAAAAAAGAAAAAGTGTGAAAAGAAAAAACAAAGAAATCCAACCTGGGTCTACATGTAAGATAAAAGTTTCATGCAGACAGGAAGACTTCTTCTGTTGTACTTTTCCGACAAATAAAAACTCCACCAGGGCAAACTTAAAAGGTCCTTGTTTGAGAACTTCAAAGTTAATCCATGGGTTCAGGAATAATCTGAAGTTATCTGCTGAATACAGAACAGGTCATGGAGCATATTGGATTCCTACCACCTGCGGAGTTCCTGTTGGTGTTGTAACATCGTTGGTCATGCTGATTCTTTAGAGTATACCTGACTCACTTTGTAGAGTTTCTGTTATTTTTCAAAGTATGACCTCAAGAAGGAAAACAAACAAAGTCAAAAATAACTTTCAAGTAGAATTTTTCAAGGCAAGAAAAAAGAAGATTTCACCAGAATGGCTCACTGATCGCTGCAGACACTAGGGGAGGAAAGGGGATACAGTGGCATGTAAAAGCGATGGTTCCCATCCTTTCTTGACTGCTTCTCTTCCGTCCGCTGGTTAGTACGTACTTGGGTGATAATTAAGCTGTCCAAAAGTCACTGTTCAACTTTTTTTCCAGAGAAAACTCTTCTGTAATCCACTTCCTTGAAAATTCATGACGAGTTTTGTCTCCCGAAGCGGAATCCTTGAACCAAGAAAAGGTCGACTAATTTTACTGTTGGTGATTTCTTTGATCTTTGATGGCTTTTCCCTTCAGAACAAACTAGTGGTCCAGAAAGTTCATACTTCAAAAGGTCCTAAGATACTTCTTTGGCCATCTTGAGAACTCCATCAATGATTCAAAGGAAGGGAAAGGACAAACCTGCAAGACAGAAACAAAAATCCTTATTATCATGATTGCAGTTTAGGCAAAATGAGAAACAGTTTTATTCCCTTCTGAAAGCATTAATCAGTCATTGAATGTAGATCACATATTCTGTATTTTCTGTAATTTGAAAGTGATTCACTACAATACAAATAGTGCGGGGATATGCTGCACTTTACGAACAAGAAAGAAAGAAATCCCCTAACACTACATTCCTGTTTGCCTTTCTTTTGCCTTTGTGTGTTTCAAGCTACAACATCTCTAATATGTTGGATTTGTAAGGATTGTCTGGAGAAAACTGTTTTCCAACAGTGATTCTTGTGTTCAGCAAGATTTCTAACAATATGCTGTGTGCTGGAGAGCGATGGCAGAGCACTAAAAAGAGGACAGCAAACCAGGTGTGTGGAAAATAGGAAGGAAAGAGAGAGAGCCAGAGAGCGGAAGGAGAGAGAGAAAGAGAGGTCATTGTTCATCACACAGCAGACCCAAAGCATCTGTCTGCCTTTCGCCTGGCTGATGGAGCGGCCCTAACATCAGCCAGCTGATTAATTGCATGAGGGAGCACTAATTGGATAAAAGTATTAATCAATTAATTGTATCCAATGAGGCAACAACCCTCTAATACTTCAGACAAACATTGGAAAGCAGCAGGAGGAGGGGCGGATACGGTGCTTGGGTTGTTGTGAAACATGCACAGAGGTTAGAGAGAAAGACAGAGCTACTGGAGCAGACACACAAGTTAGAGGAAGGAGGGTTGAATGAAAAAGAGCCAGACAAAGAGAAAATGAAAATGAAAGAAAAAAAAACAGTAAAATAAAAAGAAGTAAGTGGAAGGCTCCAAGAGAAAGCTGGACGGACTATGTTGTGTTGCGTGTGGCTGTGGTTGTGATTAATGGTTTCTTTGACACGTTCAGAACAAAAGGCGGCCGACAGAAAAGGAGAAACAATAACATTTAGTATGTCTCTGGCACTGCGACCTCGAGAAAAGGAAGATTGCAACACCAGTGGAAGAAAAGCTCTTCAGGCCTGCAGGTGGTTTAACCTATTGTATTTCTGCCGGCCAGGAGAGGACTTCTAATCTCGCTCTCTTCCTGCCCAGCAGCTTGCTTGGAGCTTCCGGAAATAATTCCTTCTCAGACTGTTGGTTCAGGCAATGTCCGTGGTATTGGAAATGGACTGCTCTGGGGGTGTCCAATCTCCAGAGAGAAACAGTTCGAGAGCAGAACTCTTCGTTCACTCAGGACAGTTGGTGTTGTTAATAGTGGAACTCTGTGGGGATTTGACCGTGTAATATTTTGGTGACGTCATGGTGATGTCGTGTTCAGTTGTGTGATTCAGGAGTTGATGTACACCAAACTGAGAGGCAATGCAGAAGTCTAATATAATATGACAGTTATAAGGTGACTAAGACAGATCTGGGATGGTTCTCTTGGAGCAGGGTAGAGGCTGCCTTTCCCTTCGGACATAAATACCTACTTATATTACTCAATTCATTACCCACAAAACCCAAATCATAAAAATGAAATAATAATATGGGGGGGAGGGGGACTTTGAGGGACAGTTTAATGACCTTTGTTTTAGTGTCTGAGAAAATATTTCTGACCAAAGAATTCAAAATTCATGTTTGTTTGAGGCTTGTGAAAGCAGATAGAAATAGCCCTCTACAATGTTATACTCCTCCTCTTGAACAGTCTATTGTCTTGACAACAACCTCTCACCTGTTTATAGATCAGCTGTAAGTGTATTCAGAAAACATTGGTATATTCTGTCTGGGGACCCCACTGTCGGGGTAGAGTTTATTCATACCGTTTTTTGCCACTAAAGAATAAGAGTTATTTAAGGGAAATACACAGGCAGATTTCTATGGGCCCACCCATTTTTAAGATCTTTTATATCTGTTAATGTTAAGATAGTTTGAAATGTGATGCTATGATCAAATTGGAATCTTTTTTTTTAAATCCCAAGGCAGGCAAAAAAATGAAAGCAAGAGGAGGTAGACTTACATATAGGAGAACATTCTGACTTCACATGTTCAAGTGCCAATGTGGGTTTTACTATGTGGGCAAGACACAAAGAAATAGAGAAATAGGATTCCTGATAATAGTATAAGGGCAGCAACTGAACAGTAATAATAGATAAGTGGTTCATTTAATCCAGACACAACAGATCTACTGGTGATGGAGATTGTAGGCTATGGTTCATGGGAGACTGAGACTGTAAGACCATCTCCAAAGAGAGTCAAGAAGGAGTACTGATAATTCTTAAATGCTTAAACAGTAACTCTTCCTTTGTTTTGAAATTAATTGAGATGGGTGTTATTGTTGCTACTCATTTGTGTGATGAATTTAACTCTTGCGCATAATGATGCTTTCTGTTTTCATTGATGTTGTTTTCATATGCAAATATATGCATTTCAATTCTGTAGTTAGTGCAGACGCGGAGCACAACACGAGATGTTTTTACTATTGTATTGAACTGTCTTACTACTATTTTGTTTGGTAGTATTTGTTTTAAGATCTGTATGAGCTGTGTGTTAATCACTGGCTGGTTCCCTGCTGTGATTTAATAGGAGTTATACTTACAAACGTCTCAGAAATGCAGAGGAAAGCCTTGGGCTGAACGGATTTTGTTTCCTCTGCTCTTGTGCATCATTAAAAGCATTACATACTTATTTGCAAGTACTGACAACTTAATTAGCTAATTCTGTGTTTTTGGGGTCAGTGCACAGTATACTCTAAAGACATCTGACTGTAGCAAAGCTGGTAGTTAGGATGCCTGGGTCTTTTTGTACTTTAAAGATGGATTGTGTCAACGCAGTAAAATACCATCAACAATGTAGTGAAATATGATTGACCTTGAGTACGTCAATAGTATTCCTTCTTCAAATACCATTCCTCCTTACATTGAAATCTATATTAAGTCACTGACTTTGGACATAATGCTTTAAGTAGAAAATAATGAAAATGTAGTCTTTTAGCCAAACACTCAAACAAGCATTATGTGTTTCATAAGAGGTATGTACAACTGTTTCAATGGTTCTGAAGGACTACCTAAGGCTAAAAAGGAGCTTTGATGGAGTGGTTTCACTTTATCAGTTGCAAAAGCATTACAGTATGTTTTAAGTAATTGGCTTAACAAAGATCTAATCCATTCACAGTTTTCTTCACCTGTTTTATGATTACACCTGACCTCAAGAATCATTCAGTGAACATGTACAATCATGGACATCCAATCCACGATGAGCCTGCCAACAGATCTGTGAAGCAGCAAGTGGTTACTGTTAGATACAGTATACTCCAATATCAAAACACTTTTTATAAAAGCCTTCAGAGTGTGAGTTGAAAATATGTTTTTTTTTCTATTAAATGTGCTTCATGTTTTAGTGAACAATTCAGCTCAATGATTGACATGACTCCTCGTCATGAGTTACATATTTTAAAATCAATTTCTATGACTGTGGATGGGCGCATGCATGCAAATTCTGAAGCAACGTGCAACTTTGATTTAAGTAAGTAGGCTATCGTTTTCTACACAGTATTGAAACTATATTTTTGTTATATGCCCCCTCAAGCCAGGTAAGGTAACTGATGCTTTTTTCAGAGAATATAAGTCCATAAAATAAACATTTACCCAGTTTAAGGTGACATTTGGGGGGAGAAAATGCCCACTTCAAGTTTTCCTAGATATAGATACAGATACTGCTATCTGTATATCTCTAGCTCTGACCCCATTCTCCAAACACTACAGAAAGAAAATTCCACAGTCAAGAATAAAACCCATCTATCAACACAGATAGACTCTTCCCTTTGTGCCCTGAACTTATTGGTGTGACAGACCAACACCAGTGGTGCTCTGAGTTCCTTGGCACTGAGCATGCAGCTGCCTGTTTCCAGTAGGAGTGTGCTTGTTGGCAGTGATAGGCCTATTTTCAAAGATTCTTCTTTGATGGAGCTTTTTGCTCTGACAGCAGAGAGACTAAATGTGACCAGTGTCTTCTGATGCTGCCCTGTGCCCCTCAGTTAGATCCAACACTTGGCCCTGCACAGAATGATGGCCAATCCGTTCTGCCCGGCAGTGGGGCTGACACACTATTATCATTCTCTGCTAGTGTAGGACTGTGTCCCCATGCAACCATGCCACCCCTATTGTGATGTTAAAGACCAAGTTCCAACATTTCTGTCTCCAATTCCACAGACCCTGTAAGCTAAGACTGCAGCTTGCTGTCTGCAAACATGAAAAAACTGATCTTCATAAATATCATCTATCATATCTCCCAATATTTATTCGAAGGTGTAGTCACAAAAAAGCACGTCTTCGAAAGCAGAACTATTTGCTCCAAAAGCCCCCATGAAGGTGACAATCGCTGTTGCAAGCAACTGCTTACAATGTCAGAAATGAAGAACTTAATTTGTTGAAAAACATCCCTTCTTTTTATATATGGCCATTTTAAATAAAGCCAAATCAATTTCGCACAAAACTTTAGGCCTTGGAATTTTTTTGAAGGATACTTATTTGTATGGGATTTAAGTTCCATAGAGCTAACACTTCACAATATTGTTTAAAAATCATGTAGGTTTTCAAGTACAAAAGAAGTCAAAGAGAAGGGTCATCTTTGAAAACAATCATGAATATTTGCAAAATGAAAAGAGTAGAATTGTTTGGAACTTTACAAAAGGGGGGGAACTCATCTAACCACCCTAGCTTGACTTAAATTGATTCAAAAAAATCTTTTTAAGTTTTCCAATTAGATATGTTTGAGCTATGGAGTGATAACTTCAAAGAAATAAAAAAAAACATAGAGTTTATTCCACTGTGGCTCCAAGGCAAACAGCATCGGGAGGATATAATTAATTCGTTTTTGCCTATCTACACTTTCCCTGTTCCCTTACAGTAGACTTAACAGTGCGGCAGGCAGTTTGAATATGTTTAATTAGAGAGCATTTGTATCAAATATTTTTCTGCATGCACCAACGGCCCAGAAGTTGCTTTGCAAACTG